CACACAGGAATCCACGCTGAAGGCTGGTATCTGGCACACAGCCTGTCCCATGTTCTAACCTATTTGGGCGTGTAGCGTGAAAAAGGACAGATAATTGGGTTTATCACCGGCGTATTTTTAGTTCCCATTTCTCCACACGTAATTTACAAAAGACTGAAAAGGGGTGGGGGTGGGGGGGTAAGGCAGTGGAAGAGCAGAAATAGAGAGAGGAGGGGAATAAGGAGGAGGGGAAGGAGAGGAATGGAAGTTAATGAAGGGAAGCGAAACAAGGAACGGGCCACAGACTTGGAGGCTGGCACGTGTCCAGGTTCGGTGGAGTGTGTGTGAAGGAGCAGTAGTGTTTCCGCCCTCAGGCACCAGTGCGGGTAGACGGAGCATAACAAGCCCTCTGGATGATTTCAGGGGTGCCTGACAAACCCTGCTTATTTAGGAAAGCAACCTTTGGAAACTTCAGCAACACAGGGAGCGAGATTTCCCACCATGATGCAGACCTCTGTTAACACTGGCATGAGAATATAAATCTGATGGTTGTTGTGTGGCTTGAGGCATCATATCATGTTGATAAGTGAGATGAAGAAAGAGTTAAAAGTGAGTACTAAGAGATTATAAATAGTTAAATGTGAAGCTACAGGCAGTGGACAGGGGGAAAACAGCTAGCTCAGTTCAGTCCAAAGGTAATAAAAATCCCCATACCAGCACTTCTAAAGCTCACTAATTAACACGTTAACACAGCTAATCTGAACACAAGTCAAAATGTCCAATTGAGGAAACGACACGTTGTTGTTTTGCGAGAGGTTTATCTTTTAACAGAGCCAGGCTAGCTGTTTCCACTTCCACTCTTATGCTAAGTTAAACTAACCATCTCCAATCTCCAGGCTGTTGCCTCATATTTAACACAGACATGAGAGTGGTATCGATCTTCTCATCTCACTCTTGGCAGGAAGGCTAAAAAGCATATCCCTTAACCCCTTAGCGCCGATTGTCGCAAATTCGCATCACACCTCTTCCTTTCAGGCTGCAGCTGAGATAGCATTTGTATTCCCCAAATGCCCCAAGTGCATATTCGATACATACCTGGGAATCTTTTGCAAGCACTGGTTTCTCATTTATGTCTGCTAATTTGCATCATACCTGAATTTATATCTGTTCAGTGTTCTATAGACAAATAACAATTTCCACTTAATTTAACATCAACCTGAAAGCAAATGAAAACAGAAATAATTTTTACATTTTTTTATTGTAAATAAATTCAGGCATCAAGGGGTTAAAGTATTCTTTTAAGCCAGCTGAAACAATGTGTTCAAGGTATTCCTGAAAATTAAAACCAATCTGGTGATTGTTGCACAAGCTAAATGACCAGAGTCTACATCTGTGCACCAACTGATTTTTGTCCCTAAGCATTTCTATATTAAGCTGCTTATTTCTATTCATGACCCCTTCAGGTGATATTTGGCTTATACCAGGGATTTATTTTCCACAGAGCTAATCATTGAAATTTTCAGTCTTTTAAAGGATTTTGGGAAAATTCATGACAGCACATTGAATATTCACTGGGAACTATGGATAACACCACAGTTACTGTACCTTAACAAGTAGACAAAGGGCTCACTGTGTGCAAAAAAAAGCTGATCTGAAAAGCTGTGTTCACTTAGATTAATGCCGCTGTGGGTCAGCTCAGGTCACCTCTGCCAGCAGAGATCAGACGGGTGAGGGTGAGGGGTGGCTGTGGAGGGTGGCACGAAAAGGGGAGATGGAAAGAGATCAGTTAAAAAGCACTGTCCTGGAAAAGTGCTGCTCTGGGAAAAATTCACAGCAGGAAGCAGTGACTATTGTTAGCTTACTGCTGTAATTGGTTTGATAACACTTAAGCACATGATAAGTTAGCTCATATCACAGAAATACTGTAACACAATAATGCATGATTAATAATAATTAAAATTACATAGAAATGAATCATTAAAAAATGCTTTGAGCAGCAGTTCATCATTAAATGTTTTCTAAATGCGTAAGCTTCATAAATATTTATGGCAGCAGTTCCCAAACCTTTCAGACACACCCTCACAGCCCATCATGTTCCAAAATCTGTTTATTTGAACTGATTTTAAATGATTTACTTAATGAAAGTCGATTCTGTTAAAATATTTTTTCATACAATATAATTGTCATGTTTAGGTTGCTTTGGTCAAATTCGCATTTGTACTATCGTGGCAGAAGATGGATGTTTCAACCATTTATCCATTACTTTTAGATGACTCTTTGAAATGTTTAATTTAGCTATATATTGCATCCATTTATTACTTTTAAATAAGCATTTCATTTGTTTATCTGTTACTTTTGGCTATCCATTTTAACATTTTTTTCAATTTAAGCAAACCACTTCAACCAATTATGGATAAAACTACTAATCTTCTGTTTTTTATACACTCTCGGTTTTTACAGCTGCACATTTACGTAATACCATATTCAAAGTTTAATATAACATATGTTTTTGTCAACCTTATGGTAGTATTCATAGGTAAAATACTATACACATATTCAAGGGCACGCTATATACAGCCCCTTGGTATGTGTTTCTGATGTATTAGCTAAGTTGCACAGACCAACATTACATTATACAATCCAATTCTACAGTATGACAGCTGGCCTGCTCTGTTCTTTTGTGCCTTTCCCCCAAACACACCAACATCACATCTGTCACCTTTATGCTCCAGTCAACCTCATATTGATAGGTCGGGACACCTGGTAAATATCACACACACACACACACACACACACACACACACACACACACACAAACCAGAGGGGGCACAGTAAATATGGGTTTTGTCAATAGCTGTCCACCACAGTGGAGGCTCATAGTATTTTTGCTGATGTGCTGACTTCAGAATTCAGTGCTTCACTTTTGCTGAGATAAAGGATTTGGGCCAGTTAAATCTTATCATAGTCTATTATGTGTGTGCGTGGTCATTCAGCAGTAGTACATAAAAAGTAACAGTGTGCTCTGTCTTCAGAAGCTGCTGACAATTGAAAGGTGAAGTTATTTTCACCTGATATTACCTTTTTGACGGCAGACAAATTTGGGCACATGCACTTGCAAACACACACAGGCCTGCTATGGAACAAAAGCACATTAGTGCTGTCTAGCACATTTCCTCTTTTGTCAGACTGAGGAAGGAGGCTTTCTCGTACACGCACATGGACACACAACAAGCAGGATGTCCATTAACAGGATGTAACCCTGCATCTAGTTTCAACCTTTTTCCACTTCAGATAGATCCACTGACCGAGCAAAGGCTTAAAAGGGGTTTTAATTCTAGTGTGTGTGTGTATGTGTGTGTGCACTCTCACAAAAAAAAGTCCATGACATGTCACTGTGGTTTATTTTATCACTGATGAACAAATATAAAATTTTAAACAGCACAAATGCATGTTGTCTGAATATGTATTTCTCAGGCAGAGTAACACTTACTAATAAATTTGACATCACACGCAAAACACACACAGCTGCTTGAGTGCTGTCCTCTGATGCTGTTTGATCAACACATGAAGAAAACAAGTTTGGGAAAAGTTCAAAATGTATTTTGAATGTATTTGAGGTCATCCAGATAAAACACGTCACAAATGACATATTAGTGCCATTATATCAACTTTTAAAAGGAATAAAAATAATTATACTAGTTTCTGCTGACCTTGTCTGCCCCCTTCTGAGTAATGAACACCTCCTTTTATCCTGTACTGTCAGGACTCAGCTGAGTGTTTTCAGAATGTCACTTATCCCATCCGCAAAAGCAATTTAGCAATTTCTCCTCCACCAATAGTTTCTCCCCTCCTCTCTCTTACTGAGAGAGTGGTTCAACTAAATTTAACCTCAACTGCAGAACTCCTGCTGTCAGCGTTGCTCTGAGTAAGTCTGGCCAGACAGCTGAATTGTATAATACAGTACAGACCCGCTCTCGTGTATGACATGATGACACGGTCTAAAAGATTCTGAGCTTGTAAAATTATGTTTGTGGTTGTATATCACCTTTTGTGCTCCTTTCGAGAAACGTAAGAGAAATTCAATTTTGTGAATGTAAAAAAAAATAATGTTTGACCGACTTGTGGTTGTAGAGGCATTTGACATAAAGTCAATTTATTCTGAGTCATTCTGATTTCTTTTATATTTTACTTCAATTTTTCTTTTCAGTAACAAATAATGTGAGGCTATGCAGTCTTATTTTTAGTAAGTATTCTTTTTATAAAATTTTTATTAAGTTGGTGAATGTGGTCATTGAAAGAACAAACAAAAACAATGTAATCTCTCAATACTTCTGACTTTCCCTGTCTGTGGAGCGTACCCAATTGTTCAGACAACAACAATCACAAATATATAGTTTGATTTCCTAAAACAAAAAGCCCACTAATATTCTGAAACAGCAGGGTGCTGTATGTTACTCAAAAAGGAGTAATAGTGGATTTGTTGGGTACAATATTCGGCCACGGATGGATACACATGTGGTTCATAAGTGAATGTTTATGGCCATAGAACGGTAAAATAAAATACAGCTGCCAATGATTAATGGTAATAAAGGAACATGTCATCCAGTGCACCAATGTTGTTCACTGTGTTTTCAGACAACAATGGAGTTCTATGGAACAGAGGATATATCAGGCTTTTATCAGACTTTGACTACACAGGAAATACTTAGTAGTAGGATATTTTATTTTTTATTTTTAGTTTATTTTAATTTAGAGAGCTCGGAAATAAGGATGGCTTGTCATACATGTAGGTTCATCCACTGCATTGCTGCCTTGCTCAAACAGCGCTTAAAAAATGCGCCTTGAAAATTACAGCGCAACTTTCATCAATTGGGAAATAGTTGTCAGTATTGTAAGTTATAAGCAGACAGGATTTACTGGGCTGACTGGGCAAAACCACTGGTATGGTCCTTTAAATAAAGAAATTATGTCAGGAAAAACTGGGGAACATGTGACTGAGGGAATAGCACTGGCCAAACACATAGAATTCATAGGTTTTTATTCAACATGTAATAGAATATAGTCAGTGTCACATTTATTATTTATACGTAACCTGGTGCTGCTACAATTATTATATGATATTGGCACACAAACGAGAGAAAACAAGAGAATAACCAAGTAAGTGAGAGAAAGACAGAAAGAGAAAACAAGAAGAGAATACACATTCTTCAAAATAAGACAATGCATTAACAATTACAACACCTGTTGGGAAGTGGATCATGAAGATGAGGCACAAAGCTCCGAAACAGAATAAGAAAAGGACAGAGCATTTGAGATGACTCTTTAATATGTTTATGAAGAGAAAAGGTGGATAGGACAAAGTGTCCTCGCTTTGTTACTGTAAGCCTTGGTTTGAGAAGTGTAGAGAAAGGAGTAGTTGTGGTCTGTTGTACTGTGTCAACAGGAACTATTGGTATGTTGTCTTATTTTTCACATTAACAATGCTGCAGAGGAAAGCAGCCCTCATGGCCTTATAGAAGCTATAATGTGTAATGGACCTTTGTGCCTCCATTGCACTAGAGTCTTTAAAGAGCTCCAAATGTTTCATCAGCAGCACTGCCAGTCCAAAATGAAATAAAGACAACGAACCAGTATTTTTGCCTTGTGGTTTGTGGTTGTTCTTTACATCGGGAAAGTTAAATGCTGTGGAAGATAGTCAGCAGCTGTCTTGTACGCTATGTAAAAAAACTATCTTGGCTCAATGACAATGTCATTTTGTTAGAAGTAGATCAAGACTGACCTGCCTGTGATGATGGCAGAGCTTGGAGGGCAGCATAGTCCTTAAAAAATAGAGGCCATGCAGTAAAAATAAAAGTGTTCCAGTATGATTCTGTCTTCATTTGCGGTCCACTGTTGCAAACAAAACCAGTGTAGCTGGCTGCATTGATCAGGCTGTTTATATATCCAGCCAAGAAAGACAGATCAGAGCCTGATCTGGTGCAGCTCCTCACATGTACTTTCTTTGAGAGATGCTTTTCTACTATGTTCTTTCTCATGTCACATAAATCTTAGAAATCTCCAAACCTATGGAAAGAAAAACACAATATAGTAAATAGAAATACAAATGAAGACATACTGTATTCTGCAAAAATCACCTGGTGCACAGATGCTATGTTTTATTTAACTGGCAGTACCTGGGTTGTTTGAAATAAAGAGACATTTTGATGTAGTTAGCATGAGCAGAAATAACTACTAAAGTGTTAGCTATAGATTAGACAAGACGATTTTGCATAGTGATTCTGGTTCTCATAAAGTCATTTGATTGTTAGCAAACAGTTTGAGCGAGAACCCAAAAAATGTCAAAGCAATACTCGTCTCTTTTTTAATCAGATTTAGTTTGTCATTTATTATAATATTAATATTATTATATTTATGACAAGATATATTGTGATGCTACCATGCTGTATTTCAGTGTCCCCACTAATCTCCATCAACAGTCAGCCAACGTGTCATTTCTTCATCCACTCTGCTTGAAGCTTAAATGAATTGGCACAGATGTTGAGTGACTTGAATTCTGTTGTGTATAAATATAGGTCTAAGTGATACAGACATGTTGTTTTCCTTTTTTGCCAGCGGGTGAGTTTTAAATATTGCAAGAAGGAAAGGTTAGTGAAGAAGCATCCACCATGAGCTAATGAGATAGAAGTGTACACTGTTACAGCAGTTTGGGTGAACACTAGACCTTCAACTCTGAGGGTTGGAAAACCACTCTAGCCATTGTAATATTTTACAATTAAAAAAAAACTTAGATCCACTATATTGTAAATGCTATACACATCTGTAACTGGAAAAGTAAAACATTGTAGCAGGTCCAGGATATTTTTCGACAACCCTAATCCATAGTGATAGCCACCATGGCTGAACAGTGATTTGACCAGTTAGTTAGCTGGTAAAATCAAATACAATTTAAATGCTGAGCCTCTTTGTGTATAAGCATGGGGTCAAGTCATTTGTCAGATGTTTCTTAGACATGTAGATAACTGTTTTGGCCAGCTAAGAGATGTGTCGTGCTGCATTTTAACATCGTGTTTTAGAGTGTGTTTGTGTTTGTGTGTGTGTGTGTGTGTGTGTGTGTGTGTGAGACTCACTCTGTGTCATCAGCAGTGGGTGTGTTGTAGCTTTGGAACAGTGGTTGCATGAAGAGCCCCAGAGTTCCCACGACACACACCAGGATGAAGATCCACAGGAACAGACGGTCTATCACCATGGCTACGTACTTCCAGTCTTCTATGATCTGGAACCAAACCATCAAGTTTAGACTATTATTATGCCTGACTGATCAGATCATGACTATAAAGTGCGTGTAAGAGCAGACCCTCAGGGAAACACCTTGTTAAAACGTTAGTCTGCTCTAACATAAACTGTAGTCGTTAGCATGTCCGACTATCTAGCTTACTGTCCACATAGCATTACTTCAAAGGCCACGGAGCACATCATTAACTAACTACATTAGCTTGTCCAGAGAAGGTTAAAAATCAAGGGCAACAGGACTTGGTTGAAGATACTAGAAGACGTTTCGTCCCTCATCCAAGAGACTTGGTCAGTTTTGAATGACTAGTAGAGAAACCCAGATATTTAACCTTTGTGGAATCATTTGCCAAGATCATCGATACCAATGGCTTGTCGGGTTATAGATTATATTAAAAAAGCACATCCACAGTATTTCCCTACTGTGTGAAAGCCAGTCTTGGATGCTATCAGAGTTTAGAGTAATGTCTGAAGTCCTGTCCTGAAAGTTTAAACAAAAACATCCCCAACCAACATTACTTAAGATAGCCTTATAGTTGCTTAACACCAAAAGTCATTGTCTCCTTGTTATGTTAAACATACTATTTTAAAATACAAGCAAGCATGTAATCAAACTGTGTTTTTGATCTTAATGTCCCATTTCATACTTATGAGTCAAGGACTAACTAGCATTACACTACAATGAAAGAACAATGTTTTTCTTGAATTGCTACTTCATTTCAATGACTTCTACATGGATCAGCTGGTGAGAATATTGACGTTTTGCCCTGGACGTGTAACTTTAAGCTAAGTCTTTTAGCATGATGTCATGTATGTAGCCATAAAGTGCAAATTTAAGACCTATTTTATTGGAGACAATAAACTCATGGAGTTAAAGTCAATAAGCTAACATTAGCTTAATGTTAGGGGTAGCCAGAGTAACTACCGGCAGGGCTTAGCAAATGGTCAATTGCATTAATGATCAGAAGCAGTGCTTAATTAACCGCTGCTGTGACTATGAAACTTCAAGCACACCAAATGCATCATCTGGGTTTCACTTTAACTGCACTGCTGCCAGGATTGCCGAAAGGAAGATAATAAGCAGCTTGATGAATATTTGCCATGAGCAATTACAGCTGCAAAACTTTTTTGTAATATTTAATAAGTGCGGGAGTTTTGTGGAAGTTCAGGAGCCCAGGGCCACAAAATCTGGGGTTAGGGTTAGAGCTGAGTTCAGACAGTGTGTATTAGTATGAGAGTGTGCGCCGTGTTTTCTGAGGATATCTGATATTTTTAGAAATAAAAGAGATGATTGACAGGTTGGAATAATGTCACAGAAGGACAAAACAAATACCAAATGATTTAAGACATGGCATGTTCCATTTCTCATTTGGCCCTAATAACCTCTTCATTTTTTGAGCAAATCTCCTCATTCCTCCCTATTGCATCTTTGTCATCATCCATCTCTATAATCTGCTTTCATAGCTCATTCTGTTGCTCCAATAATATATTCTGTCCTTCCTTTCTATCATCCTTTGATCCCATCTCTTCCTGCTCATCATCACTTATCTATTTTTTTAACCTTGGCTTTATCTCCTCACCCCTTCATCGTCGTCTTCTGTCTTCATGTGTTCAGAGATGTATCTGACTCCATCTACTGCCTCCTCCAAATCCGCATCCCACTGAGCAGCCGAATGGCTCTGGAAGTCTGAAAACCCACCACCCCCATCAGGGATGTCGCCCACTTTCCAGCAAAACTTGTGTGCCAAGTCCTCATTCACGTAGATAGGGTCAGTGTCTGTCCGGATCCCACCGAGTCTGATGTTGGAGTACTGCATCTTCTCTGCGCCGGTCTGGGGATTGCTTTTCCCGACAGTACTCCGGTTGGCGTACTTCCGGCGGAGTTTATCGCGGACATTGGAAGAGCCTGGACGCCTCATGAGGAGGCAAGTGGGCAGGCGGACTAAGAAGAGGCGTTTGACCCAGTCGGGCATGTGGTGAGTGGATGGGGAGCGATGGTGCACATTGAGGACACAGACGGTGCTCACAATGGAGAATGTGACCAGTACCATGGTGAACATCAAGTATTTACCTTAGAGAGAGAAAAGATGCCACTATGAACAAATAAATATTGCTGATGCCAATCAGAAAATTGGGAAATATCTTACTGATTCATGAGAAAATATTTATTTTTAAATTAGGACTATAGGTCTGTCTGTAGCATAAGCCTTTTTCAAATAAAGCCGTGGTTCTCTGTGCAGGCACACTAAATAATGACCTTGGGCACTATTTTTAATGGTTTATATATTGCAGAAGCCCTCTCACTTTTTGCACATGCAAAACATGGAATTAACTGTAATGGCCATGTCACACATTTTCTCCGTTTTCTTGCACCTAAAAATAAACTTTAACATGAATCTTAAAGGGATAGTTCGGGAAGTGGAAAGTGTGTCTCTACAGTATGAGGTATTTATCCATAGTCAGTGTATTATTTGCAGCAAAGAAACAGAGAGTTATACCAGCCTGTAAGCTAAGCAATGTACTGCTGTGGAAATGGTCAACAGCAAAATGTATTTAGCTATCTAAAAGAAGGCCCACCCAAAAAAAAATCAGTATCGGTTTTAAAGTTTTCAGCACCTTGCTTAAATTTTCTTTGGAATGTTGAATACTGTATTACGCTACCAGAGAGAAACATGATGCCTGCTTGTATTTTTCCAGGCTGTTTAACAGTGGCTAGTTGCACTGACTCTAGGCATAAACACTCGTTCATAAGACCTAATCGTGTGTATGACTCGGGAGGAACGGGTTGGATCTTGGACTCTTGCGTTCACTCGTCACACGGCAGCTGCATGGGCTCCGTCAGCACAGGAAACAGAATTGATTAGTTGACGACTCTCAACTGTGGGTCTGTTTAAGTCGTTCATTTGTCACGTGACAGCTCGGCTAAAGGGCTGTGGTAAGCAGGCAGCACAGGAAACAGAATTGATTAGTTGACGACTCTCAACTGTTGGTCTGTTTAAGTCGTTCATTTGTCACGTGACAGCTCGGCTAAAGGGCTGTGGTAAGCAGGCAGCACAGGAAACAGAACTGATTAGTTCACGACTCTCAACTGTGGGTCTCTGGGTTTGAGTCGTTCATTTGTCACGTGACAGCTCCTACTGTGGAGCAGGAATGAACGACTCATTCACCGCTCAGATGGATCCTCAGTCTTTCGTTCACTCGGCAGGCTGAGTGACTACTAGAGCCAGAGAATGAGAGGCAGGTCAGCTGTCAGGTAACAGTAACTGTACTGACATTATATATCTATTATGTTAATTATGTTACATTTAATAAAGCATAACATTATTACAGCGCAGTGATGTTGTGCTAAGTTATAGTTTTAACACAGCTGCAGTAACTTTAGTCCTGCTAGTGTTTGACATTACAGCTAACAGCTGATGAGAGTTGTTCTGGGTCCACTTCAGAGCCCTGACAGAGTTCTACCTGGAGCCGAATTACCTCCAAGGTCGTCTCCTCTCCAAAACAAACAGACCCGGTCATTAAAACATTAAAACACAGCCACGCAGCAACGTTAGCGTTAGCTCAGTAAACAGCTAACAGATGATCCAGGTCTGGCAGAGAACGCAACGTAACTTTTCCTTTTTATTTACCAACAGAGCCGTGCTGTTGTTTCACAGCTCGTGACTGGTAAACAACCTGGACGTGTTTGAGAGCGATGTGCTCGTGTGTTTCTCTGTCTGCAGAATCCGGACCTGATGTGGCCCATTCTGCATCCAGACCTGCCAGACTGCTGCGTTTATATACTGTCTTAATATTTCTTTGTTCTTTGCTCTGTGCTGGAATTCTTTAAGAACTTGGTGGGTTGATCCAGATTATTATTAAATTGGTTGAATATCAAGCTTATTACTTCAATATATTTACTGCAAATCTGATATTAATATTTTACTCATGGATAGGGACGTTAGGCTGCTGTATGAATGAGCACTTTAGAGATAATGATAGTAATTATATACATAAGCCTTTATATGGCTGGTCTGGTTGTATACTACTCGGGAAAGATTGTGAAAATGTAAGGATTTAGCCGGAGTAGTGGTGATTACATATTGACAACATATTTCTGAGGTTTTTACATGGTTTGAATTTGGTTGTGAGCCCAGGGGGGTTGATATAATGATGATATACAGTAATCAAGAGGTGAATTTGTGCATTATACTTTGTCAATTAAAGCAAGCCAGGCAGCCTTCCGTGTTTGAGAACGGTACACAATAACCAGCCTAGTTCAAATGAACGAAATGAACAAAATGACTCAAAAAAAGATTAGTTCATTTTAATGAACGAGATTTGAATGAACGAAATATTCGAACTTGCCATCACTATTTGAGACAACTCCTCGTTTGCCGCAATCACTTCTCTGTAGAGGTTTATGTAAAACTAGTCAGGACCCGCCCTACTCTGCTTCTGATTGGCTAGTAGTCCTTCACTAGGTACTGCACATGTGCAACTCCCAACACAGATCAAATAGAAGTGAGATGCTTCACTCTGTAGCTAAAACAGAGCGTTCAAAACACGGGGTGAAAAGAGGTTGTGCAGCAGTGTGCAGTATGACCAAAATATAGTGTATTTTGAAAATTAAACAGTGTAACCAGTTCTGGTACAACCCCTAAATAAAACTATTAACCTGAAAATGAGCATAATATGACACTTTAAATTTTCTTTCATTCATTGTGTCTTGCATAAACTGCTGAAAGTCTGACCCAAGTTGCGCATGCGAAAATGTACTTACAAAGGAAATGTCTGTCTGCAAGCTGAAGTGCTGAAAATATTAAGCGCATAGCATACCCCTGAACTGATATAGATATTTTTGGTGGGCCTTCTTTTGGGTGGCTAAATTACATTTTGCTGCTGACCCAATCCACTGCAGTACATTGCTTTGCTTCTTTGCCAGCTCTTCTTTTCCTGCCGACCCCGAATTACTGCAGGTATTGACTATGGGTAAGTACCTCATACAGTCCTACTTCAGAAATTCCAAACTATCCCTTTAAAGAAAATGACATTTTGTGACCTTTTGGCTAATTTCTGGCTTCTGGCTCTATCCGAAGATAACTAAATCAACCAGATTATTTCTTACTTTGGAGCAGTGACTTCCTGGGGTTTCCGTTGGTTGCATGCCTCATGGTGATGATAAGACTCGAGGAAGTCACTATACCAGGCCAAAATAATCACGTACGTAACAGCACATAACCCCTAGTTACAGTCGTGTTTGCACTTCGGTTGTTGTACAGATTAAACAAATGAGCGTTAGTTGTGAGCTTTAGAGGTGCTAAAAAGCACACTTAGCTGCTGTTGGACAGAGCCAGGCTAGTTGTTTCCCCATTTCCAGTCTTTATGCTAAGCTAAGATAGCTGCTGGCTGTGGCTTAAACCGATATGAAAGTCTATGAATTGTCCTATCTAACAGTCAGTGTGAAAACAAATAAGCTTATTTCCCAAAATATCAAACTACAACTAACAATATCATCCCTACAAGTCTGCTGCTTGTCTACCACCAGACCCTGTTCTCGTGTAGTTGTGAATATTCAGGGAACAGAGTCGCAGAGCAACTCACTAATACTCCTCACACACGGTGTGAGAGGAGGGGGAGAGACACTGACTGAGATTACTCTGAGCAGCATGCATGGGAATACATTAGCCTACAATAAAATAGACTCTTTCTTATTTTTCATAGTTTTTTATGTTTTCTAATAGTTCTAATAACTCACTAGATCAGTAGTATTTTAGAAATAAAGTCTCTTGAGACTTAAAAAAGCATTGGACTCGTAGTTGAGAACGAGATCTGTTAACCGTTTGTGTGTCAAATACATTGACTAGATGCTGACAGACAGTGGTTATATTTTCATTTTTGGATCAAAATCATGAGTACCTGTCCCTAATAAATTCAACGTTTTCAAAGTTTCAAAGTTTTTTGTGTGTTATTTGTTCATTTTATATTTAGCAGAACTTAGCAGAGATCTCATTATATTTGTTTATCAAATTTATTTTACTCCTCCATTCCTAATGCATAACTCATATGTACGTAATGGATTAAGTCTACACACTGTGGCACGTGGACACACATAAACATGACTGACCTATGAGTGGCACTGCAAGAGAGGTGGGTGGCACTATCTTTGATATCAGCAGCAGGAACACAGTGAGTGCCAGCAGCACTGAGATACACAGCGTCATCTTCTCTCCACAGTCTGACGGCAAGTAGAACACCAGGATAGCCACAGATGTGATCAGCACACACGGGATGATCAGATTAATGGTGTAAAACAGTGGCTTCCTCTGGATCACAAAATCATAGGTGATATCCAGGTAGGTGATGTCATTGGGGTCCTCGTTTTTGCGTGCCGGAAGCGAGACGATGTCCCACTCTCCGCTTGGCGTGAAGTCATCACGGCTGGCAAAGTCGCTTGTGAGGATTAGATCCAATTCTGTGTGGTCGTAAGTCCAGGAGCGGAACTTAAGAGTGCAGTTCTGCTGGTCGAAGGGGAAGTTCTGCACCTCGATGGCGCAGGCCGATTTGTAGATGGCCGGGGGGAGCCAGAAGATGTCTCCTGTGTTGGAGACCACAGCATTGCAATAGAAGGAAACCTCGTACACGCCATCAGCACTGTGAGAGGTTGTTGGTGAGATGTAAGATTAGAAGGAGTATGCATTCACAGTCGACAATTACAATCAACACTTAAATAAGATATATTTAAAGTCAGCAAACTCTTGAGGCAACCTTTTCCCCTTCGTTGGAATGATAGCAATCAGACAAACCCAAACTCTCCTTCACGATAGGTTGAAGTGATATTTAAACCAGACACTGATTAAGCACCTACTAATCCTCTTCACCTCTGCAAAAGCAGACTTGGAAGAGAGAGAATGCAGAACATTTTAATTACAAAATCCCCATAGAAAAACATGCTTATTTTAGCTGCAGACACACAGGCAGTAAATGCACTTGCCTTTTTTATTACACTGATTTTAGAACAGCATAATAGAAGCAGATCACCTGAATCAAATACAGACAACCTGGCCTTCTTTTTGGTGGGGCAAGTACTTACTTGTTGTAGAGCACTATATCAGGAAGCCAGATGTGCTTGGATGGTATTCGTAGTTTCTTGATGCCTTCATACTTGTCTGGGTCCCATCTCAGCCTGTAGTCATTCCACTCCTGCAGAGAAGGCGTTCATAAACTCCCTTTTACTAACACAACAACATACAACAGTATATTGAACACCATATGTGTACCGCGCAGTTGGAATGATTATATTGTACCTGGAACAGCCACAAGTTGGTGGTCATAATCTGTTCTCTCTCATTCTGCAAGAAAACAGTAGTCAACTTATCATACAGTGAGCTTTATTTCCCTGACATTTCACATAGAAAATAGTTGGTTGAATTATTATGATGCTGTGTACTGGCAGTGGTTTCAGCAAGACACACTAAAGGTCAAACCCAAATATCAAAGCACAGATTTAGGAAGTGGACACAATTTTATTGTGCAGGAGTTTCACAGTGTCCACCCCGAGTAAATATGTGTGGTAAAAAAAAAAAGTTAAAGAACACACCACATTAGAATTAAAATTTATTTCAGAAGCCAAATATGTTTATGCAGTCTAGGGATAACAAGTAGAAAATTACTTTTACACTACAGTTCGTAATCTTACTCCGTTACTTTGACATTTGGGGGTTTTGTTTCTGTCCTGTATACATTTTTTTGTCAGAATTAGGATGTCACTGTCACTGATTAAATAGGTAATGTAGGAATAATGAGCATTTGTGCACACTCTCCCAAAGGTTTTCTGATACATGAATTTGTGCTTGTGTGTTTTTGTATAGATATACTTACTACACTGATGAGCTGAGACAGAGACACCTGTATGGAGATGGTGACCTGTTGGCTCTTATTGACAGCTGGTCTGATCAGTTTGTTGTAGCGCTCTGGACTCAACAGGTAGTTCACCAGCCGCTCCTCTGCATTCTCTGCCCTGCTGCCTACAGGCGATTCAGAACACAGACAGTGGGAAAACATTACATTTTGTAATGTTTTCAAGTATTATAAACCCTAGCATGCATCTCCATCTAAAATCTTCAATCCTTAATACAGAGACACTTGCATGAACTTGTGCTTGAAGTATTTGTCTATTAGAAAACCATAAACTCTGTCCTTATGTTTGTAGCAGTAGTGCTTCTCCTTTTCACATTGAAAGAGAGACACAATACAAATATGTCACCACATTATGGGTGTGCGTGTTGCAGCTCCAAGAGTGATATTCTCTCTATCACAGTATATTTTTTAGTTCAGTGTCATCATGAATGATGAAGAATGAACAAGTTAGCTGTAAATGAAAAATGAAGTTAATTTACCAAAGGGCAGGCTGAATCACATGTTCTCTGTAAGTGTGTGTGTGTGTTTCTTGCAGTCTCATGCTTTACTGCAGGGCATTAGAGCAAAAGAACAAACAAAAATCCAGTCATGCATCCATCCCTGTGAGAGGATCCCCGAAGCTTTCTCAGCCCTAAATGATTGGTTATGTAAAAGTGATTGTATGAATAAGTCAGAAGCAAAATGCTTTTGACCTGCTCTTCCACAGCCATTATGTCTACATTGTCAAACAAAGTGACAACAGCGCAGGGAGCGTTTAATTTCTGGAATGCTTCAACCCTTCTGTGCCACATGAATTGTCTGTTTATGTAAGATTACACGCAGGGAAGGCTGAGCACGGATGTTCCTTTCTTCAACAGCACCCTGCTGTTTCAAGTTTTCACGTCACAGTGAACGCCAAAGCCATTTGCAAGCAAGAGAGGCAAGGGAACCTATTACAATTTAATGGAACTTCAACTTTAACTTCAGAGAATACATTACTTGCCATCAAGTAAGAACCCGAATAGTCTCTTTGTGTGAGAGACCTTAAACTTCTAAGAAGCTATTTCATAATCAGAGGGCACAGTAACACTGCAACTGGAAAAATATGGAGACATTGTTGATATTGCACTGAAATTAGTTGTGGTATCATTTATTTTAAAATTATGTTATACTAATATACTAAAAATAAAACTTTGTAAAATGACATTGTTGGAGGAAGAGTTTGACATTTAGGGAAATTCACTTAGTTGCATAATTACTTAAAGTTAGAATTGAGAAGGGCAAAACCATTCTCTTGTCTGTATGGTAAATATGTAGCAGGAGCCAGGAGCTTAGCTTCGCATAAACACTGGAAACAGGGGTAAACAGCTAGCCTGGCTCTGTCTGAAGTTAACAAAATGTTACAATCCTGTCTTGAGTTTCTCTGAGTTTATTGTTTGGTCAGTTCAGTATCTGGAGCAGCCTGCCTGAGGAAATCAGGTCGGCTGAGTCAGTGAACTCTTTTAAGTCCCTTCTTAAAACATACTTTTATAAGAGAGCCTTTCCCGATTTTATTTGACTTTATTTTATCCCTTTTATTTTATTCTATTTTACTTATTTTATATGTATCTTAAATGTGTATTTTGGTCTTTTCAATGTTTTCTTGCTTGTATTGTTGTCTTTTGGGTATTGTATTGTTGTCTTTGCACTTGTTGAAGCGCTTTAGTCTGTGTTCCATGTCTTTGTTCCTAGTCCTGTGCCTTAGTTCATGCCTAGTGTTTACTTCTATCTAGGCTGTAAACGTCTGTGTTGTTTTGCCCATGTCTGCTCTTGGTTCTGTTTAATCCTTGCTTCAGACTGTGTTCCTTAGTTAGTGTTCCTCTGCCTGTTTGTCCACTAATACTTTGAGTTCCAGTTAATGTATGGTCTTGTGTTTTGCATCTGTAAGTGTCTCTCTGTTTTCCCCTGCTGTCTCTCTGCCTCGTTAGTCCTGGTGTGAACTGTTTGCTGTGTGTCTTCAGTCCTTGTCCGGTCATTGTAGCGTGTAGATGCTCTGTCTCATGTTGTGGTTGTAGCTTCTAATGCTCTGTCCTGTGATGTCCTCTGTCTGCCCATTTTCCCCCGCCAGTTCTTGGATGACCAGCTGGATTATTTGTTCGTTGGGATTGTTTATCTTACTTTGAATACCCTGGACTCGGCCACTCTGTTTGTAAGTGTGCTCACCTTTTGTTTAATAAAATCTTTTTGAACTGCACCTGCTTTGTTCCAGTATCCTGCGTTTGGGTCCTCCAACCCTTCTCGACCACACAATCCTGACACAAAATCCATCTACCAGCACCTATGAAGCTCACTAATTAACTAATAATCCTGAATAATGTTTTATGGGGGATTATATGACCTTTCTCCATCATCTCTTTATGTCTCATTTGACTGCCCTGCAATTGGTCCCAGCAAACAAACTTTGTTGAAATTTACTGGACAACATTTTTATGCATGCATGAGTAATTCCAGCTGAGGTAATAACAAATAAAAAAAATTTAAAAATCATTTATTTACAGTGCAAAATCACCATGCAGCATGGTCCCAATACCAACAAATACACAGGATCAAATACAAAAGAGTACAAATGTGAAGACACAAGAGAACACATGTGAGGGTAAAAACAGCAAGAATGAATAAATAATAAAGATAAAACAGGTACATTTGAAAACTTCAGATTGGGAGGATATATGATAGGACCCAACATAAATTCAAGAAGAGGCTAACCAATACTTAATACTTCATTGATTAAGCATTGCAGTCTTATAACATTATCACACACACTAGACAGTTTTTTTAAAATTGATGCAGCAGAACCAGAGATATCATCTTTTTTAGTCTATGCATTGTACTTCCTTGTCAAAACCTTGCACCCACATTACTCACAATGCAACTCAAACCCCTCTGGTTCAGTTGTAGATTCAGCTGTTATGCTATTAGCTGCTAATGTAGCCTCAAGCCTTCTGTAATCTCACTTCTCTCTAACCGGACTGAGAACAGAACAGATTTTTTTTTTTTTTTTCATTTTCAAACTTATCCAGCGCCAATCGAAGCTGACTCAAATGACATAACTTGTGGCAATTTATCAGACTTTGAACCGCTCTCTCTGGAGTTCCCCTTTAAGTGACAGTACACTCCCTTTAAAAAAGGGCACAGAAAATGTGGGAAAAAGCTCCCTTACTATAGTGTAAGTTCAGGGTGTGTGGACTGTAAAATAAAGCAGTCTCTCGTCCACCACTTTTACATAAGTACTGTGTAGCTTCCACTTAGTATTTCATTGGCATCCCATATGTAAAAAATGTTTACACTGTAATGTGCTGGTTGTATTCTTGATGTCTGAATGCAACATGGAATGACCCATTAAGATTAGTGTTTATAAGATTGGTGCTGGTGTATTTTTTAAATATTTTTAAAAGTTTTGTGACAGCTCCATTAAAATTTGGATGCTTTGACTGAGGAATGGTGCCAAACATCATTGCATTAGGCCTGGTCTTCTGTCTTCAGGCCTTACGGTTAATACAAACACTCACAACAACATGGAAAGACAGAGAGAAGTGCTCTGTGCCTTCTCGGTGTATTACATCATTTAAATAATTTAAGCCTAGATTTCAGGGTATGTTTGCCTTGATGGATGTTACAGAATAATGCTTGACTATGTTGCCTGCCATACCCGATCTTTGTTCTGTTGTTTTAGTAGAGCAGATATGAACATTGATGGCTCAGATTTTTTCCCCTGTCTAGTTAATATTTGTTTTTTTAAATCCCTATTTAAGCCTGTGAGCTAAAACTAAAGCCTAGCAAACAAGCTTATACAATTTCACGGGGAAAGGAAACACAAACCTGAATCAAGGTCAGGTCAATAAAGGAGGCTCTTCTTTTAGGACAGTGGTGGAGAAGTGTTCTGCCTAAAAGACAGGAGACGGTGCTTTCTTGGGGGTAGGTATAAAATAGTTCTCTGTAAATTATTCAAAAGCCCATCTGCTTTTACTTACAAGTATTTTATATTAGTATGAGTATGAACACTACAGTTTTAAAAACCTTGTCTTGAGGCAAAAGTTGGAGGAGTGCTGTGGTTACTTTTGATTCAAAGACAACAGACATACCAAATCAACCCTTTTTCAGCATACACATAGCTGTTCTGAGTTGGAGTCTCTTTCTTTAGTCATAATGGGCTGAGATTTATCATCAATGTCTACACCAACAATTTGTGGTGGTTCAGCTGTCACAGAATACAAATACAGTTACAGCAAATTGTTAATAATAACAACATAATAATGCTTTTCTAAGCAGCGTGAACTAAACACACACAAACACGTTTAAAACTGTATATGTTGCTATATATATATTTACAGAAACAATATGATGAAAATACAAAGCATAGTTAAGCAATGTTGTAGCTGCTATTAAGGGCACTGAGGTCATGTCCTTGATATTCTTTGTAGAAATTGGAAATCATTTACATTCTACAAATACACACACACTACACATGATGGGTTATTTACTTCTGATTGTGATCTTTTTGCACCACTATATTTCACATTTGGCTGTTTCTGTCGAACAAATAAAGTAATTTATAGGGGGGAAAAAGAAGGGGAATTTCACTGCCAGAGGTTGCTTTCCCTTGGAGAGTTTCAACTCATGACTTGAGTGATTTGAAAGTCCAGACCTCTGATAGATGATGAAAAGACAAGATGTGTCTTTGGTGGAGATAAACTAAGCCTTAGATAACATTTGTTAAGCTAATCAAGAATGTGTTATGATTGATTTATTATGTTCCTTTATTGTATCTTTTCACAAGAATAAAAGACTATAAAGGAATATTACTTGAAACAATTTAAAGCATGGCTACACTGAACCCCCACCTGTTTATTTTAAGCTAGCAGCTAGTGTAAAATCAGATGATTAGTATAGGTCAAAAAGGTAACAGTTCGTTTGGTCTGGCTGCTTGAAGATTTCTCGCTTTAAGAGTTCAGTAACCACTGACAACAAAGAAGAACTGGAAATATATAACACTGCATTTGATTAAAGTTACATTGTCTAGTGCAACCTTTCATGTGACCTGTACATTAAGATTCATTTACCTTTAGGTATGCTTGTTATAGTTATAGCTGCAACTTCTTGACTGTGTGTGTATGTGACTTATATCTTCATACTTTTGAAAGATGTTTGCATGACGGCGAAGTTGTGTGCACATCAGCACAATGGACAGCGTCTTAAGATCTTGTCAAAGCACAGAGACCGGTTAGAGCTCATAGAAAAGGCTACCACTGTACGTTTTGAGAAAACCCTTTTCTCAAAACAGTTTTTGCATATTAGGTCGCCTCACCTAAATATGCATCAAGGACATTTAAAGAATATAGAAGAACTCACTTGTGAGAGAGAGAATGGAGAGCAGGAGAACAGTGTTGGTAGTCATCTCCTTTCTGCTTCTCTTGACAAACTTGCAACTTTCTTATATTGTCCTCCAAACAAAACGTGCCTTGAATGTGAAAGGTAGAAATTTTCAGTCTTTATATTCCGTCGCGATACAGTAAGCCTTCTTTCTTAGATCCTCCTAATCTTCTCTGTGCCACACACCTGCACCCGTCTGGTGGTCTGTTGCTGGAATTTTGTTCAGCGCAAGAATATACGAAGAAACTTTGGCTAATATAATAAAGTGGCTATTTGTAGAAAATGTTTATTTGCCAAAGGCAACATGTTGGTCCTTTGTTTTATAGCCTATACTGCGAGAGGAGCTGGGCTGCCCATTGTGCGCCGCCACCTCAGCCACAAACCAGCCGCGGTGACATTTACACCGCTCTCGATCCAAATCCAACAATCCACTTCTTCTTCCGTGAATCAAACCACCAGCGCTCACCTGCATGCGGATAGCTGTCTTCCGATGAAGCGCAGACAAGTTCTAGTGCGTTAAGAAATTGGCGCAGCTGCTGAAAGTGCGGGGCGCGCAGACATGACGCTTGTTGTTCAACGGTTCCTCTGGGAAGCTACTTGCTGTTAAAGTCCATAAAGAGGCCAGGAAGGATTTTCCATGAAAGTCCGTGCTGTCCGGAAGAGAAGCCAGGAGAAGAAGCAGGGGGAGGTGTGTGTGTGCGCGCTCCTTGAGCTTGGAAAAGATTCACGTCACGGCCTGATGTGCAGCTGTCAGTCTGCTCTAGTCTAGATGGCCTCTTTTGTGCTTTGATAACCTACTTTTCATGGTGTCTTTCCGAGTGAACCGAAACTTGAGCAATCCAGAGAAGAAAACGCACGAAAGGTTACAGCACACAAATTTACACAAGAGCTTCTGTAAAAAGCGTGCGTTCGCTTAGGCTGGCTGATTGTTGAGGCACGTGTTTGCTCAAAGTGAGCTTAGTTTGAAGCATTGTGATCATGGCAATATTTTTTGATATAGCATAAGCAGACACCCATGTGGTGCCAGCTGTGAGCAGATGCTGTCATAATGAAAGAGGGGAGGGAGTGGAAGTGGGGTGGGAAGGATTTCCTTCCACTCAACTGTGGAGGGAAAAAACACTGAAAGTGGAATAATAATTTAAAAAAGTGCAAAATACAACATGTTATTTAAAAAGGCCAGTCAGGAGAAGAACTGCCAAAATGTCACTGAGCCAGACATCAGAATATGTCAGCTCCACAGGCACTGCCCCCTCGCTCTGTATTTTGACTTCCATGTGGGTTTATCTGGAGAAATAATCATTTTTATTTTTGGAGATACCCTCCGGATACTAATGACATAAATATGCTGCTTTGAATAATACTTTGTGTCTGATGTGTTTTTGCATCACTACATCATATCATGCAAGCCTCCTACTTCACTGAAGAGTCAGCGCTCTCTCTCTCTCTCTCTCTCTCTCTCTCTCTCTCTCTCTCTCTCTCTTTTCAATTAAATTCAATTGGCTTTATTGGCATGACGTTTTAGTTTTTACATGTTGCCAAAGCAGAAAGTCGCACGAACAATAAAATATAAAAAGTAAAATGAAATTAAACTAACAAAATCAGTTTTACATTGCATTTGTCATGCAGTAACATTCTCCTGCCAAGGAACAATTATTAAAATAATAACAACAATTAACAACAACAATAATAATAATAATAAATAATATCAGTCATTTTATACAAACAACAACAAATATTTAGTTTGTGGCATGAAAAGATGGATTTTGCTGGAATAATTCTGTTATAAGAAATCAGGAATTCAGGATATATTTGGAAAATGTTTTTCTCATAAAGTTTTGTATTTAGGTTTCAGGAATCCAGATCACACTTGTGTAAGTTGCATACTGGACCACCACTGGCTTCCAAACTAGTTCAGAATCAGAAGGAGCCTTATTGCTAAGTAGTGTTTTACACATACAAGGAATTTGTTTTGGTGTTAAGGTGCTACAGACATACAGCTGACATAAATAGATTTAGAAATATATAAATATGTAATGTTACAAACTCATACTCATATGTAAACGTATTTAACTGAGATTTAAGGTAATCACACCAATACGGCATTCTGCACCACGGTCAAACATCCAAGTGAAGTAACGGAGGCTTGCTTTTATACATCATGACAGGAGGATTTTTAACAGTTGGACTAGGAACACATGGCTGTGACTTACCATCACACTAAGAGGAGAGACATGTCCCAGGCCACTCTGCCGCAGAAGTCACAGGGAAGAGAGAGAAAGGCTCGGGTGTGAAAGCAATAAAGAGGAGAAGATATGAACAGACGGCACCTCTTTTAGACATTTCTGCTTGTCACTCATGAATAAAGCATTGCAGATTGAGTGGTTAACAGTAACAAGCATGGACTCTTCTTGGCAAGGGCAAGGTTCTTTAATGCTTTTTCTTATATATATATATATATATATATATATATATATATATATATATATATATATATATATATAGTGTGTACATATTTGTGTCAAATGTTTTCATAACACATTTTCATAATTTAATGTAAATCAATAGACACTTTTATTTCACTTCTCTTTTTGTGTGCATATCACCCAATCTCCTAAACCAAAAATAATGATGTTGAAACAAAATCTGATGAGATATTCACTGCTGTGCCATTATTCATGGGTTTAGCCTGTGCATAAATTCCTCACAGTCCATGTAATATAACTAACCCATTACTCCCTCACTCGGCCCAGTGGAGATTTCAGTCTGCCAATGGAAGTGTGTGTCGGATTCAGTCAAGTTAACTGGCACGAGCCCACCACAGCCTACAGCAATTCATCCTCCCCCTCTTACTCAAGTGCTCTGTCACTGCTTCTCTCACGCAGGCAGGTTCAGGCTACTATATAAAAGTGCCAAGATGACACCTGTCATATTTATTGTTAGGACAGACACACTGTGTTTGGTAGGACCAGTATATCAACATATTACACAGAGGAGGAGTGAAACCATTTGAGCGCTGTACTTGTTGGTTTTTAATCTTTATTTGTCCAGATATGGTCTGATGAGTGTGCATGTAGGAAATACTGCTGAGTCTGCAGTTAACATCCTCCCTTCCCATTCATAAACTAACATACACACATACACACACGCACACACTCACAACTGGGTGAGTGTACTGATGTTAGCCAATGAACAGCTCCAGTGGAGGATTGGCATTCTCTCAGCAGAAGCCTTGTCACAGACTGAATCTTTTCTAATGCATAGTTTCATTTGGCTTCATATGGAAGAGATAACCTCAGGTAGACACAAATCTATAAACCTTCCACCCGGTCCAAACCCACCACACGTACAGAAATACAAGACTCAAAAATAACCAAGGTGAAAAAAGAGAAATGAAAATTCCGCTATTCCAAACAGAAAGACAAGAGGTAGGTTAGAAAAGGAGTATTGCGGGAAAATACCATGGTATGTCGTATTTTATTTAATAATCAACTCTGAAACAAGCAGTCTATAAATAATTTTAATGCAGAAATGAATTACATGTCTGTGTTTGAAGATGGTACTCATGGAATTCCCATTACACTAAACTAAAAACTACTAGTTAGCTGCAGCTACTCTGACTAAACAAACGGAGTGACCTTCATCTCTAACCTAGTATGATTCAACTTAATCAGTACCAATGTCAGCCTGTCTCTTAAAGGGGCACTTCAGCAATTTAGTATCGCACTTAATTAAAATTGAGGGACGCGCCGGAGATAGCCTGAGTTTTAGTTCATACTATGAGTAAAGCTCTAAAATTGTGCAATCCTACATTTCCCATAAAGCAACTCAGTAGCATCCTTTCATTAGACCCACCCACAGTGCCTGATAAACACCCACATCTTTCAAATTCCACACCCCCAGTTTGGAACACATGCTTTCACTTATAGTTTTGTGGTCTCCAAGCCCAGGCTGAGATAAACACTGATGCTGTCACTGCAGCCCCCATTTACACCTGTTATTAAATTGATCTATATCTGGATACATTATCTGGATAATAATTCACAGCTGGTATCAAAATGTGTTCTCGTTATCACCACTGTGCCTGCCTGCCTGTGATAGGATCTCAATACGCAGATTGGTTAGGCCAGGACGTCATTCATTCTTCTTTTTGTGACGACGGAAGACTTGCTAGCTACTGCTACTTCTTGTAGCTTTTGCCAGCCTTGCTTAAGCTAGCAGGTAGAGGCAGAGTTAGGTGACCTTTCAACTAGCTGGTGGGATTTTTTTCTTAAGAATAAGGTTTTCACCGGGATACATTTAAAAGGCAAGTGTAAATGGGGTATATTACATCATCAGGGGTTATTTTCTACGGGTCCTCATTCGCAGGCTAATTAGCACTCCTAATGACCACTAAACTGACCTTTATCTGTAAACTAGCAGAATGGCACTTGAAGTTGGGGGGGGGGGCTCACTTCTTGCAGAAAAGATGAGCTATGATGAGATATTGCGGGGGCACTGAATGAACAGCACAGCAGCAGATAAATATGCAGCCCAGTCTGAGGAGGCTGAAGGTGGATCTGATGCATGAGGATAGAAATGACAGCAAGTAGGCAGGGAACAACCAAGTGTGTGCATCAAAGCACAATGTGTAAAAATAATCCAGTAGACAGAGTCATACGTGTTACGGCATATAGCAGGATGCTCTGAGTGCAAACCAGAAGCAACAACTTGGCACTGGTTGATGGTTTTCTATAATCACAGTAAGATCCTGAAAAGAAGTCACTATGGGTTCATGAGTACTAATGTGAAGGCTGCGGGCAGGGCAGAGGGATACGGGGAAAAGAGTCCATCTTCTTGAGAGTGGATCAGACAAGACATGTACACCTCAGCCTGAGGGCTGGGAAAGGAGACTGGATCTGAGTGTCACTGGAATAGTAATGGCTGTGATTGGGTGAAATAAATAATAATACTAAAAATAAATAAATAAAATGTGAGAAGCATATAGAGGAAAGGAATATGCCTGCAGAAATCCAGTGCTCTCCTCCACATACGTGTAGTCGTGCAGATCAAACAAACAAACATCTGACCCAAGAGCTTCAGTTCACTTGACCCTACAGCTGATGTTGTTTGTCATCATCAACACTTGCCAATCTGGGTGTTACGGTACAGTTGCAGGGTTCAGTTGCAATTGATACGTGTGAGGAAGGAATAACTGGTGACCTGCCAAACCTCACATGTTTGACCTGATTAAAATAAAATAAGTGAGGCAAATTTTGAGTTTATTTTGTAGCAACATGTAGTTCAGGACACTATCGTTATTGTAATAACACAACTCTAAAGAAAAAGAACTGATACAGACAAGCAGGCAAACGCACACACATTCACGCACATATGTACACAGCAGGGCAACAGGTGTAAAATGTCAGAGTCATCAAAGCCCCAGAGCTTTTACCCCGCAGTTAGTCCTCCTCCTGTGCTATTATGTCATCACATTAACCAAGGTTTGTTTGGGAGAGCATGTGCATCCAAATAAGGCTTCTTATGCAACACATGTGCATGTGTGAAACTCTCTGTGACCTTTCATGTGAGTGTCATTACTGTGGATGGAAAATGACGTGCGCATATAAAATGATACAAATCCTATGTGTTCATCAACCTACATTTATTTTATTTACAGTATGTAATGTGTGTATAGAACCTTTGGATTATATTCATTGCACAGGTTTATCCCTTTTTTAAGATGTAAAGGCAGTCTTCACATCTAATTGGTATCTGATTGAGTCACATTAAAAAGCTGTTCAAGAAGTAAAACTGGAATCACCTCACTTGAGGTAGCAGTGGATGGGATGTCTCTGAAAAGCAGGGAGGGAGAGAGACACAGAAATGTCCACAGGTCATCATATGAAGCCAATTTGTTTTAATTGCAAAGGCTAAAAGAATTTCTTTCTGGGACACACTTACTTTTAATTTGACAAATGATGCAACAAAATGTCCATTTGCATCTGATGAGATTTACAGTCATTCATTATTCCATGAAATTAATCCATTTTCTTTACTGGCATCTGACTTTACTGAGAGAGCAGTTCTCCTGATATTTTGGAAGTGTTTTTCACTGAGTTAAGGCAAATCAGCTGACTCCCGATGCAAACAACCACTTTACTGATACATCATGATGGCAGCCTGGATCTGTTTTAGGCAATCAGTCAAACATTCATTTCAAAATCATTTCAGTCCAACATCAGCTAATGACTCCGTTCAACCCCGGC